ACCTAAGCAACTGTGAAAGATATATGTGGTAGTTGTGGTCTGGAATATACTGATTCAAGAGCAATCCGATCACGGAACAAATTTGGATGGATCTAAAGAAATGTGCCAAATATTGGATACCTGAAAAACGCGAGAAAAATCTCTTTGTCCTCAATCATATGTCATGGTGGAACAACTTTACAGGAGCAAATGTTGCGAAAGGTTCGATAGAAGCATCAGAGAGGTTGGGAGTTGAACATAGTGGTATTTTTAATGAGACATCGATCAACTACACACGAAACAACCGGTAGAACCTCTACAATATAATTTGGTAGAGAATTCCATTTACTTGGAGCTCTGAAATTTGGTATATTGGTCTTGCCAGGAGAAATGGCAGGGTGATGTCAAATATCCTTAATAAAGATCTAAGAGATGTTCATGACTCTGTAACAATATATCCGCTGTGTTAGAATTAAAAAACAATGAAGCTCGTTATGATAAAATGATGAGCTCGGAATGAATTCAGAAAAAAGATTTAGTCTCACTTTATAAACCTTCTATAACACTTAGAAGATCCGTACAAAGCTTTCAAATCGGTGAATAAAGTGTTTTATAGAGTCCAGACGTAAAATATACCGGGTCTGCAAATTAGATACGAGAAACAACCGGAGGTAGAAAACTGTAAAATGGATAAGAGATATAATTGGCGCTTTGTAACCGGTGAAGCGATTTTTCGCTCGAGCTCCTCCTCCGATTTGTGGTTTTGCGTCTTGATGTTTTTCCAACAAATCGAGGTTTATACCAAGCCGCCTCCGAATATTTTTACGAGGAGCGTTTATTTAATGTCCGAAATACACTCGGATGGGTGGACATTCCCTGCCGAGAGGCGACCGTAAAGGTATATGAACCCGAGACTTCCGAATGTCAGTACGCAATGCTTACCATTTGACTAATGCGGATAGAGATACAAGAAATAAATAACGAAAAGAATTACTTAAGGATGCAGGAGCCACCTATAGCATATCGAAGAAAATGGAAGGTCCCTATATTTGAAACAATTTGTCTAAAATAGGATACTGGTACAAGAAACCCAAAATGCTGTACCAATAACCATGATAAATAGATAGAAATCGGAATATAATACAAGGGTGTATGTATATTGTTACGGACTTTTCCGCTTGGCTGGGTAGGGCTCAGCCATGCCAAGGTTTTCCTAAAATAACAACACGCTATTTTCGCTACAACAAAGTCAATTTATTGCTATTAATATTATTAACTAGTAATATAAATATATATGTACATATGTATATACAATTTGTATTAGAGTGCTACAACAAATACTACTTCTCGTATGGACTGTGGAGGTGAAAACCCTCTACTAGCCCCCATTCGTGTCAGGTGACACCCCTCAGTTTGCCGGTAGTGTTGATCCCACGGGCAAATATATCTATCGACGCCACACGGGCTACTTAATTTAATTTGTTATTTAATAAATACAAATTTTCGCCCTAAATAGTTTTTCTTAAAGCTATATGTGTGTAGGTATATGCATGTTCATAAAGTGAAATTTATAAGATGTGTACGTATGTACATATGTACATGTGAGGTCTGCAAATAAACTTAAAAATATCCTATTATTTATATATACAGTTACTCACAAAAATGAGCATACACAGGTTTTCGTAAGAGAAATACACAAACTATGCAGAATTTAGTGAATATATTTGAATTTTTTTGATGCAACTATTATCGATTATATTTGAAGCTAAATCATTTATTCAAAAAATTATAAATAAATAAAAATGGAGGAACGTTACTAAATTCCGGTGGGAGAGGCCGCAAAAAAATTTTTGACTGATGTTAATTAACGCAATATTGTACGTAAAGTGGAAATAAATCCAAAGTTAAGTGTTCCTAATTTAACGGTCGAAGTGTCCAAAACAATAAATAAACCAATATCAACTGAAACAGTTCGTCGTATTCTTCGCCAAAAAAAATTACATAGACGGATAGCACTTAAAAAGCCATTAATCTCCAGTGTAAATAAAAAAACGGCTTGAGTTCGCGAAAGCCCTTTTTGATAAGCCTTTAAGTTTCTGGAAAAGTGTGATGTTCACTGGCGAAACAAAGATTAACATTTGGTGATCTGATGGATGCCAAATAGTATGGAGAAAGCCAAAGACGGAGCTACGAAATAAAAATAAAGTTAGGACAGCGAGACATGGTGGTGGTTTAGTTAGGCTTTGGGAGTCTATGGGAGCTAATGGAGTGGGCAACATTCAATTTATTGGAAGCAACATGACCAAGGACATTTATTTGATTATATTGAAGTCTAATTTACGTGCAAGCATGGAAAAAATAAAGCTTCCTTCCGTGTTTCGGTTCCAGCAAGACAACGATCCAAAACATACGGCGATGATAGTGAAAGAATNTATACCAAGCCGCCTCCGAATATTTTTACGAGGAGCGTTTATTTAATGTCCGAAATACACTCGGATGGGTGGACATTCCCTGCCGAGAGGCGACCGTAAAGGTATATGAACCCGAGACTTCCGAATGTCAGTACGCAATGCTTACCATTTGACTAATGCGGATAGAGATACAAGAAATAAATAACGAAAAGAATTACTTAAGGATGCAGGAGCCACCTATAGCATATCGAAGAAAATGGAAGGTCCCTATATTTGAAACAATTTGTCTAAAATAGGATACTGGTACAAGAAACCCAAAATGCTGTACCAATAACCATGATAAATAGATAGAAATCGGAATATAATACAAGGGTGTATGTATATTGTTACGGACTTTTCCGCTTGGCTGGGTAGGGCTCAGCCATGCCAAGGTTTTCCTAAAATAACAACACGCTATTTTCGCTACAACAAAGTCAATTTATTGCTATTAATATTATTAACTAGTAATATAAATATATATGTACATATGTATATACAATTTGTATTAGAGTGCTACAACAAATACTACTTCTCGTATGGACTGTGGAGGTGAAAACCCTCTACTAGCCCCCATTCGTGTCAGGTGACACCCCTCAGTTTGCCGGTAGTGTGGATCCCACGGGCAAATATATCTATCGACGCCACACGGGCTACTTAATTTTATTTAGATTTTCCTCGCCTTTTATACCATTCTGCGCGCAGGCAGACTGTTATTTAATAAATACAAATTTTCGCCCTAAATAGTTTTCCTTAAAGCTATATGTGTGTAGGTATATGCATGTTCATAAAGTGAAATTTATAAGATGTGTACGTATGTACATATGTACATGTGAGGTCTGCAAATAAACTTAAAAATATCCTATTATTTATATATACAGTTACTCACAAAAATGAGCATACACAGGTTTTCGTAAGAGAAATACACAAACTATGCAGAATTTAGTGAATATATTTGAATTTTTTTGATGCAACTATTATCGATTATATTTGAAGCTAAATCATTTATTCAAAAAATTATAAATAAATAAAAATGGAGGAACGTTACTAAATTCCGGTGGGAGAGGCCGCAAAAAAATTTTTGACTGATGTTAATTAACGCAATATTGTACGTAAAGTGGAAATAAATCCAAAGTTAAGTGTTCCTAATTTAACGGTCGAAGTGTCCAAAACAATAAATAAACCAATATCAACTGAAACAGTTCGTCGTATTCTTCGCCAAAAAAAATTACATAGACGGATAGCACTTAAAAAGCCATTAATCTCCAGTGTAAATAAAAAAACGGCTTGAGTTCGCGAAAGCTCTTTTTGATAAGCCTTTAAGTTTCTGGAAAAGTGTGATGTTCACTGGCGAAACAAAGATTAACATTTGGTGATCTGATGGATGCCAAATAGTATGGAGAAAGCCAAAGACGGAGCTACGAAATAAAAATAAAGTTAGGACAGCGAGACATGGTGGTGGTTTAGTTAGGCTTTGGGAGTCTATGGGAGCTAATGGAGTGGGCAACATTCAATTTATTGAAAGCAACATGACCAAGGACATTTATTTGAGTATATTGAAGTCTAATTTACGTGCAAGCATGGAAAAAATAAAGCTTCCTTCCGTGTTTCGGTTCCAGCAAGACAACGATCCAAAACATACGGCGATGATAGTGAAAGAATGGTTACTTTATAACACTCCAAAACAGCTTAAGACTCCTCCACAGTCCCCCGGTATGAACCCCATAGAACATTTATGGGGAGAACTGAAATCCAAGCTGAAAAAGTCTAGTTTCCATACCAAAGAAGAACTTAAAAAGGAAATTATGGGCGAAATATCAACTCATTTTGCAAAAAAAACTAGTAGACTCGATGCCTCGGAGTATGCAAGCTGAAAAATGCAGCTGGTGGATCCAGAACCACAAATTAAATAAAAAAAAATAAAATATAAGTGAATTAAATTGTTGTTTTCCATGAAGTGTATACTCAATTTTGTGACCTGAATTTATCAATAATTTTAGTTTTTTGTATAAGTTTTTCTTAAGGCTAAATAAATTAATTGATTTAGCTTCAAATATAGTCGATAATAGTTCAAGCTTCAAATTTGCATCAAAAAAACTCAAATACATTCACTAAATTTTGCATTGTTTTTTTTATATTTCTCTTACGGAAACCAGTGTATAATCATTTTTGTTAGTAACTGTATGTATGTGCATATAAAAGCAACTTGAATTTTATTATATGTACATACATACTTACTTAGATATATACATATGTATATTTTCTTGCATTGTTGTAAGGACGCCAATATCTAAGATTTGGGGGTCCTTACAATATCGGAAATAGCATGAATGATACAGGAAAAAAAACTCTTCACCGAAAAGCATATAGGAGATACGAAAACCCGAGGGAAGGCACGACTTAAAATTATTTTTTCAGTGGAAAATGATTTGCCATCAGCATCTTATGACTTCGTGTGTTAAGGGGGATTTTTTCAACTTAGAGATAAGCAATTCCTAGTAAACAGTTCTACTGCACATACATACATACATATATGTATACGCAGTTCAAAATATACTTTTAGAGCATTTAGCACTCAGTGCATTTAGTGAATTTCAAAGCATCGATTTGTTCAGTTGCTCCCGACTTTTAATTATTACTCGTACTTTGAATCTTTATATAACAGCATACAAATATGTCTATTTGTGGCAGTTGCAATAAAACTATTGACTTGTGTTCACTTGTCAAAACTGTCAAATGCAATGGTCCCTGCCAGGGAGAATTCCATTCAAATTGCACAAGTTTAAAACATCAAAAATTGCAAACAAATAAAAATGTCATTTGGTTATGTGAAAATTGTTATAATTTATGCGCTAAAAATGTGCCAGATCAAGCGGTGTGGAATAATTTGCAGGAAAAAGAGAATAATCAAGTCACAATAAGTTTGACATATTTATGTGATGTGGAAAAACGCTTAGGAGCTCTTGAAAAGAAGTCAAGTCAAGACTTGACCGAAGTGGAAAGTACGTTTGATTATACTCAGATTTTAAAAATTAAATTACTTGCTTTTGCTTCTACTTATGCAGGCCTATTCTGTCGAGGTAACAAAATTTACTTTGGTATTAAAATTTACCATTCAGTAAATTTTGTTACTATTTCGTATTCTGAGGTCACTATAACAAAAATATCTGCTATTTTATTTTGTGTTCAAAGTTTGAGAAAAAGTAGAAAACCAAAATGGGTAGCCATATTTTAGGCCTGGAATTCAGATGAAAAAAAAGTGCAAAAAACCGTATTTTAAGAAGTTTTCTAGAAAAATATTACCCCTCTAATTTGTAAGATAGCGTTTTCATTTAGCTTTTTTTGTTGTCCAGACATATTTTCCATAATTAGATTCAAATATTTATGATAAAACTTTTTGTTTTTTTTTGTGCACCGTCTTCCATTTCGATGTGAATATTTTTCTTCCTACTTTACCAAGTGGCAAATGTAATTTGACATGGACGAAAAAAGCAGTGCTGTCAAATTTTTTTCAAACATTGTAACCAGTTCGCCAGAATACCAAATTCAATTTCGGGTGTTAAAGAAAAGTAACAAAATTTACTTTACCGTTAACAGTGAGAATAGGCCTGATGATGTGAATTTGGTCGAAATGATCGTCTTATTCCACAACAGATATTAATTATTTATTTGAAACTTGCGTATAATTCTAATTATAACATTTTATAAGTATAAAAATTCTTTCAGCAAACGGCACAAGATCTAACAACTCCCCTGCACAATCAAAAATACCAAATAAATCCAAATTTAACCGTGGCATGCTATTTATCATTGGTCTCATCGCTTTCCTAATCTTAACGTTAGCTATAACACTTTTCATCGTAAGAGGCGCTTCACGGAAACCAATAACAGGTAATGAAAAAAAATAATTAATTAGCTTTTAAACGAAGTCTAAGTACAAAAAAGGAATGAAGAGCTGGCCATGCCGAAGTCTTTATTCCTTTGGTCACATCTCATATCAGAAATATCGTTTGTAAGGGTGCTGTATGATATAGTCTTCCGATTTCAAGAATTATCGGTAATAATATTTATTTGTAAATGCGAACACGAAATTTCAACCTCTTTAATGCTTTCTTATGGGAGTTATATGTTATAGTCGTCCGATTTCGATAAGTTTCGGTGCCAATGTGTACTTCTTCTATATATATATTTTTTTTTTGTAAATTTATGACCCAAAGTCTCAAATCCGAAAAATCGGTCGTAATTATGCTATAGTGATCCGATGTGTCCAGTTCCGACAAATGATCGTTTAAGTGTACCATGGCATTTGTGTACTAAGTCCGATTGAAATATACCGAAAACTGACAGACTAGATTACGGACAGATAGACATGGTTAAATCAACTCGTCATTCTAAGCGATCGGTATGATTTTTGATGGGTCTGTCTCTTCTTCTTCTGGTACTTACTTTCTTCGGGCCAAAGTTAATAGGCCATGTGTGTACATTAAACGTATATACTCGTAAATAGACACTTTATTCCTTTTACTGCATTTTATAAGTATGAAATTAAAAAACTAATTGTTTAAATTTAATATATATAAATTTACTTACTTAAACTTCACGCTACAACTATTCTTATTTTATATTTGACTCCAGCCAAATTTTAATTCCTCAATCGAAGTTTGATTGCCAAACTTCATGGCTTTATTTTGCTTGGCATTTGAAGATCGTTCTTTTTTTTTGTAAAGTTGAGTTCATCCCATTCAAATTTCGTCCCTAAACGGCATTCAATATGGAGATATGTTTGACAGAGGTACCCCTGAGGGGCTTACCTTAAAATCACTATATCACAAAATCCATTTCGATTTCAGCACCACGAAACTACAAATTCAATGGAACATTGCTAAGAATCACCAAAGAAGAATGGTTTGCTGAGGCTGAACGGGACAGCTTGAAAAAATTAGAATTACCGGTGCAGCGAGTGATAATTGGACATACTGCTACAAATGGTTGCGAGAATAAGGTATACATAAATCATATTACAAATCTCTCTCTTCATATATATATATTATATATAAAATATGACTCTATCTCCCTCTCTCTTGACAAACATTAACCACATCGAGTAGACGCAATGTGATGGACGAGTACAGAGTCTACAAGCCTTTCATATATATTCAAACGGCTGGAACGATATAGGTTATAATTTTCTTGTCGGTGGCGATGGTTTGGTATATGAGGGGCGTGGCTGGTATAATATGGGCGCATACACGAAAGACTACAACAGAGATAGTATTAGTATCGCATTTATTGGCACTTTTAATATGGAATTACCCAGTGAGAATGATTTGATAGCTGCTCAACTACTCATCGATGAGGGTCTTCGTTTGGGTGCACTCTCAAAAGATTATCGACTTTATGGAGCGCGACAGCTAAGTCCCACTGAAAGTCCAGGAAAAGCACTCTATAGTGTAATCACAAAATGGCCGCACTGGGCTAAAAACATATGAACAATTGTAGTTAACAGTTATGTTTAGCGATTAGTAATAAATATGTACATCTTGATCATGAAAATGTATTGTGTTTATATTTGTACATATGTATGTACTTTTTATTTTTTTTTTTTTATTAAAGCTGATTATAATCAATTTCTTACAAATATGTGAACAATCAATAGAGGTACCGCTTAGCCTAGAAAACGCATACTACGCTTAACGGTATACATGATTTTTATATCCGTGCAGTGAAACAACCATAAAACATTTGAAAATTTTTCGTAGCAAGCTCACATTGCGCCATTCGTTTCTTCTTTTTACTGTTTGGCGTCAATTGGGAATACCAAGTACAGCCAAGTCCTTCTCTGCCTGGTCTTTCCAACGGAGTGGAGGCCTGCCTCTTCCCCTGCCTCCACTGGCAGGTGCTGCATTGAAAACTCTCAAAGCTGGAATATTCGCATCCATCCGGACCACATGACCTACCCAGCGTAGCCGCTGCTTCTTGATTCGCTGAACTACATATATCAATGTCGCCGTATGCACTTCGTATAAAAAGCGAAGACTCCCCAAATTTTTTCCAGAAATATTATTTTATTTATTAATTGTATCAGGTCATCATCTCGTATCGATGACTGAGAATCGCAAGTAAGTAGAATGACATACATATATATTTATTAAAAGATCAAGGAGAGATACAAATTTATCTTTGAAGTACCATAAATTTAGACCACGTTTGATGGTGATTGAGAGGGCGAAAAACGGATTCTTATTTATGTAAAATTTGATAGTTTGAACTATTTACATTAGCATTTTTCTGATTTACAAAGGAAGTAATTTAACATAGAAGAAAAAATGAAATGAATCATAAATTGCTTGATGCAATTAGGACGTATGTACTTTACATAGCGGCCGCGATAGTCGAGTGGCTAGCTTTGTGTACTACTATTCGGAAGCCCATGACTCGATTCCTGGTGTGACCAACATCCGAAAATTGTAGAAAATTGATTTAAATTCAAAATCTGAAATCGCCCCTCGGCTGGGAATATCTAACCCTCCGAATGTATTTCTGACATGAAAATTAAAGATTTCCATTAAAATCAATTAGCCATTCGGAAGCGGCTTAGCATAAGAATCCAATCCTAAAGGACGAGCGCTCACAACGTACTGGGTCAATCAATCGAAAAACTGTCAAAGACAAACTTTTAGCGCCAATAAACACGTTTTCAGCGCCATATAGTATGACATGATGCGACACGTAACACTAGTACTATGGACAATAACGCCATCTCTTAGGTATACACCAAAGTAACTTTTTACTACACCTAATATGTGTTGGCAATATCAGCCATTTGGCATTTTCCAACAACTTTTACGAATGTTTTTAGCATGGAACGTCAGAAACCCACAGAATTGTGGAAAAAAACTTTCATGGACTTTGCACAATAATAACGCACCAGGTCACACATCGATGCTTGTGCGCGAGTTTTTGGACAAAAGCAAAACCGTTATCATGCCTCAACCACCGTTTGTACTCACCGGACTTGGCCCCCGCTGACTTTTTCCTCTTCCCAAAACTCATGAAAGGAAAGCGTGCTGCTTCGATAGGGGAGATGAAAGAAAAATCGAAGCAGGAGCTATGGGGGATACCAAAAGGCGAGTTTCAGAAGTGTTTTGAGGATTGGAAAAAACGCTGGCATAAGTGCATTACATCTGAAGGGGATTACTTTGAACGGGAACAAGATAGTTATTGACGAATAAATAAATACTTTTAAAAAAAAAAATTTAAATTCAAGGTTTTTTTCTGATCGCACCTGGTATGTATGTGTATCGAATTAAAGGTATTTTAAATGTGAGAGGTACCTCCAATATTATCAAAATCGGTTCAATATTTTTCGAAGTATTGGCATTTTAAAAATTTAGAGATGAGAATTCTTCCCCAGGTGAAAATAATATTCCTTTACCCAAGAAATGTTATATACTCTTATAATCCGGTAAATATGGCGAACCACGCCCAATATTTAATTCCTTTCTGTGGCAAGGAGGCGGTATTTTGCACCTATACTAAGCTAGGTAAACACTTGAAGTCTTGGAATAAAAAAAATAATCGTTGCAAATTTATGTAAATATCAAGTACCGTCTACTGTAAATATGACGAAGTTGGTTCGCTGACATCAACGATGGGCGTAACCTTGTATTCCATAAACTTTGCACTCTACTCACTTGTTGTTTGGCAACTTTAAATTTGTTTTGTTAATGAAATTTAATTTTATCAAAATCTGACACTTTAATAAAAAAAAAATGCAAATAATAAAATAAAAAACTTAAAATAGTTGAGAAATAGCAAAACTATACTTAATTGGTAAAATGGACGTAACGGAAGCTCAACTAGAAGAAGGACAACAGAAAGGCAAAGATGCCTTTAAAAAAAATTTAATATTTTTCATAATTTTAAATGCATTTCTGCCAATATTTATTGTAATTGTATCAGTTTTTAAATAATCCTATGCATCGCTAATTATAAAAATCGCACATAAAATGTAACTAACAGTGTTGTTATTGAACTTTAAAAAGTACGTTCATACGTACATACATACGTACATACATACATAAGTGAATAATGTAGCTTCAATAGATTTTGAAGCTCAACAAAAACACCCACCGCCAAAAAATTTACCGTCATTTGATTGAAGAAATCCGCTTAAGATGTAGATGCGTATGTATGTGTGTAATATAATTATTATTATTTTTCAAATATTTTGATTGTTATTTCTGTCAATATTTTTTGGTCACACCCATACGATGTTCCCTTGCGCTCAAATAGAGTCAAAAAGCCAAAAATACTCATATAGTATATACTTATATATATATATATATGTACACATGTATGATCTGTACGTGCTTGTGCATCTTTTTAGTTTGGGGAGAAGGGGAGCGTATGGGGTTTTTCTAATCAAATAATGACATTTTAGGAAACATAAAAAGTACCGTGAGTTATCTATCAGCTAAACGATCGGTTGTAGAGAAATTTAATTGCAAATTATTGACACATCTAAAAACTCTGGAAACAACGCAACAACTCCATAGTCCATACTTCATAAATATATACTCCACACAGGCAATAGAGTAGTCCAAAACTAGCCACAATGCATACATAATATATTGTCCAATTAAAATTTCGATGTCCTAGGACTGGACCATATACTCCACTTCTGTATACCGCCAGAGTAATCCATGGAGCACATTGAGTGGATTACATTATGGATTATATATGAAAAAGCACATTTTAAATTTAATCTATTATTAATAAATTATTACCGCTAAATAAATTATATTACTTTCCTAATTGCAGTTATGGTCTTTTTATATTGAAATATATTAACTCAAATTTCTGTGTACTAGTAGAGCTTATTAACGAAACGAAACAGACTCAATTTAATTGTCTCGGATTTCCTGAATACGAGTATAAATCTTGTAGCGAGCCTAAAACTTCGTTTAGTGATTTCGATCGTTAAAAGTCGAGTCATTATCGGCTGACAACGCACTGCAATCGAGACCACAGTTGATCTAATTGTACACTTCAGAGGAGTACCTGTTGTGCAAAAATGTTCACAGGGTGCATATTAATAAAAAAAAACTCAAATCAAGACATTGCGCAGAGGTATGGTATATGGAGAGGGTTCAAATTATTCAACTGGGGGTTCGTATGTATAATTAGTTAATACATATATGTATATAATAATGTTTACAAAATTTATATGTAAAAGCTTTGAAGTAAATAGTTGTGTTGAATAATTACAACAAGACTGTATGAATTCTTAAAAAGACGGCAATCGATCAATCGATAAAATCCCAGCTTAAATTATTTATAACCATCCTTCTTTTTTACTCAACTTAACACCACCGACCTTCGTGATCAAAATTTGTGAAAAGCAAACTAATGGACATTAAGCTGGTAATACACTATACCACAATATCATTATTATTACGAATGAATTTCGGGTTGAAAATTCCATAAAAAGCTCTATTATTACATAGACCGCAAATGTTAACCATGCCAAGTCTGTCTACACTAAGAGACCAGTAATCTGTCACAACTCTGATGTTCCACTCTCCACTTTTAAGCTTACCAAAGGAGAATTATTCATAGTAGATCTTAACTCGAGATCAAGAAGTCTCAATTGCTACAATGGCATCAGAATGACGCGGCCGACATAAGAGATATCGAGAGAACTTACTCTTCCAGTAGGAAAGGAGATGTCTATGATGATGGCTCTGCTTGCAGAATATTTTCTTTTTGGTGCGCACGTAGAGAGGCAGGAATTGTAGAGAGGAAAAAATGTAAGCCTGCAATTAATTTACTTTGTGAATTATATGCTTTTTGGAGGAGTATATTGGGTAAATATAAAAAACTTATACGGCTGTATAAACTGACGCTGGATAACACCAGGAGCGCAGTCAGACTTAGGAAGGACCTCTCCCGGCCGTTCGCTACCAAACGAGGTTTCAGTCAGGGTGACTCTTTGTCGTGTGATTTCTTCAATTTGATGCTGGAGTAAATAATAAGAGCTGCAGAACTAAATAGACAAGGTGTAATCTTTTACAAAGTGTAGAGCTACTACTATATCACTATTAACAATCATAACTTCGAGGTCGAAAATAATCTCGTCTATCTTGAGGCCAGATTTAACATCAATAATAACGTCAGCCTTGAAATCCAACGCAGAATCACTCTTACCAACTGGTGCTACTTTGCACTAAGTAGGCAATTCTTCTCTACGCGAACGAAAACCAAACACCACAAGGGCACAAGCAAACAAAGGCGGTGACGAAATTACATAAAAACTAGAGCTGAAGGCCTATTCTCACTGTTACTGGTAAAGTAAATTTTGTTGCTTTTTTTAACACAGTGACAGTGAACCCAGAATACGAAATAGTAACAAAATTTACTGAATGCTAAATTTTAATACCAATGTAAATTGTGTTACCTCTACAGTAAATGCCTGTTGTTGGTATAAGATTATATATTGATGGTTGCTTCGAATACCAAAATAAAATTACTAAATTATTATTTTTTGGAAAAAATACTGTCGGGTTACGTGTCTATCATAAAAAAAAGCTTTCTTATGTCATGTATTGTTTTATTAAAATATTTTTGCATGTAGCAAATTCGATTTGTTTTGTAACCCTCATAGTTCACCGCTGACTACGCCTCTGCCCTTGTGTATATGAGCATTAAGGTGGGCCAATATGAAATTGGAATAAGCTAGGACTTCCATCAATCTTTCGAATCTGTTTATCCTTCATTGTAACATGTGTTCTCTAATAAGTGTGCTATTTTTAGATCTATTAGGGAGTGAAATATTTAATTTTAAGTCAAGCGAGAGTCTTTGTAACAATTCTAACTTGGTAAGATAAATGATTTTGCACAGTATCTATCCCTTCATATACGTATAGGTAAGTAGGTCTCAATTTTGAATAATATTTTTCCTAATTACTTCTCTAATATGTTGGTAGAAATCATCAACATTTCAAGCTGAGCTCTTAGGGTTACTATAATACCGCCGGTATCTCTTATTTATTGAGAAATATTTTTCGAAACCTCCAACGGGAACACCATACCACCAATGCATTGTTTAAGCCAATTATTATGTACTGAGAATTGCCATACTCGTATGTAGATAAGTGTCAATAAGTACAAAAAAAACTTTACAAACACACATGTATGTAAATATGTATATCATTCACTCGGGTGCGATAACAATAATTGAGTTTGCATTATTTACCCACTTATAGTATAAGTTTCTCTTCCGTACTAAACAGTTTATTTACAGCTCTGACAACCAACGAACCGATCGATCTGAGTAAGATGTATCAAAACCGCAAGGAATTTTTAAAGTATCTTCTGCTGTTTATAAGCAATATCGCTTTCCGAATCTCTGCAGCTGGTGCAGATCCAAATATTATAACCAAGTCACAATGGAATGGTGTGGAGGCGACTAATGAGCTGAGTAAGCAAACATTGCCTATTGGTCGTGTGATTATTTTACACACGGCCGGCGCAGAGTGTAAAGATGTGGTAAGACCGTAGACTGAGTAGCTCTTTGTGACTCAAACGCACTGAGAGCACTCGAGTACCTTTATGATTGTAATATTACATTAACATCTTATTGTCGTTGGCTTTTTAGGATAACTGCTCACAGCAAGTACGTAATATCCAACACTATCATCTCAGCTCACATTTTGACGATATTGGTTATAACTTTCTGATCGGCAGTGATGGCAACGTATACGAGGGACGTGGTTGGGACTATGTTGGTGCTGCTGTACGCAACTACAATGTTGGCAGTCTGAGCATTGCATTCATCGGCACATTCGAAAAGAGTTCACCCTCAGCAGGAGCTTTGGATGCAGCTCAATCTCTGTTGGAAATGGGAGTGCGCAGCGCCAAGTTAACTGATGATTATAAATTATTCGGACATCGGCAATTGTCCTCGACAACGAGTCCAGGTGCGGCTTTGTACGAAATTATCAAGCAATGGGCGCATTGGAGTCGCAGTGTTCGATAAATATGTAATGCATATGTAAATACATATATACATACGTAGATATATTTATAAAAATTAAATATTAATTTAACAAAAGGATTTTCTTCAAATTTTCTACTATTAAAATAATCTCCAAACCAGGTAACTACAGAAACTTTGCAGTGAAGAAAATAGGGGATCTAACTGAGTTGTTTTGTCGGAATCAGAATATAAGTTCGTTTGGACGGGATCTAGTTGTTGTTGTTGTAGCGGTTCGCTAGCCCCGCTAAGGCACAGGTTTGTTCAGTCTAAGTCGCCGAGGTCATCTAGTGGTGGTAGGTCCAGGAAACGAGCTGTTTGGACTGGGTTGGACCAAAGGGAGAGGGGGGTTAGATGAGTGGGTTTGAAGGAGCATGTGAAGAGGTGGTTAGAGTCGTGCGGGGACTCTCCACCTGCCGGGCATACGTTAGGTATGCTGGGGTCTAGTCTGGATAGGCAGGAGTTTAACCTGCTACAATATCCAGACCTGAGTTGTGTGACGGGATCTAGTCTGCATTACTCGCTGTTTTTGTTATTGTAGTAAACGTGCTCAGTCGATGTTGTCGTCGAAAGGTCAGTGGAGTGTTAAAGAAAATGCAAAGACATACGTTGGTTCTGTCAGGATCTAATCTGGATTTGTAGGAATTAAAAATTCCATAATATCGAAACCTTAACTGTGCCGATATTACTCGGTAGCCATGGAGGAACCTGAGCTCATCGAGTGTTCTTAGTCGTTGTTGTATTCCCATTTTTCTTGATTCTGGTGTCTGTAAGAGTAAATGCAGCAAAGGCGACATCAGTATTCTGTTTCGTCTCGGTCGTCCATTGTAATTTATTACCGGCCGGCCGAGAGTCTTGTAAGCTACTTTGCCGTTTCCAGGTGCTAGTGGCCAGCGGCTTAAGAACTTACTATATGCATACGTCTTTGCAGAATAAATAAATAATTGTCATCCTTTTGGCACCGGTGGAGCAATACCTCGCAGCTGGGCTGCTCCAAATCCTTCTCATCAGTGCTGGCGTCGAAACCAACCCGGGCTCGCTGAATATTTCTGCTTGATATAAGCAGTGCAATGGCCCATAAGGAGTGGTCCAAAAGATATGTGGTCACTCACTGGTAGCGCTCAAATGCGCCCCCTCTACTATTTCACGGAGCTCCACGAACCATGACTAATACCAAACCCCACCCCACCCACAACCAGCTTCGCTTCCTCCTTCCGTGCGAGAGCTACCGAGCAGCTCTTAGTCAGTGTGTTAGGCCATAGTGAGTCGGAACATAACATCAGTCAGATGCAACTCCTGCTCTGGCTGGTTACATTTTCGGACGGGTATTACAGCAACCTTACACCTCGTATTACGAATGTTCCACAGATACAGACATGTCTGCTACAATTTAACTGCAACGGCTGTGATACAACGAAGTTGACCGATTGGATCTTTACATGGATATAGGCGACACTAAACGTCATTCACCAGGAGTCAGTCACCACTTTCAAAGACTCCCTCCCCGTGGCTAGCGTCCTCGCAGTCAAAACAACACCCATAACAGACGAAGAGCTCGAGCTGTCTCAATAGACCCGCGTAATACTGGCGCAACTTAGGTCCGGATATTGTAGCAGGTTAAACTCCTACCTATCCAGACTCGAGACATACCTAAGGTACGTCCAGCGGAAAATGACACGACACTAGCAACCCCTCTACTCGTTCCGCTAAAACCGGCACATCTAACATCCCTCTCCCTCTGGTTCGAACCCGTTGAAACAGCGCGCTTCCTTGATCTCCCGCTAGATGAGATTTATTTTATCGATAATCGGTCGTCGTCGTCACAACGTCACAATCATTTTCTATCACGAGCCCGGAAGTCAATTCGCCTCAGGAGAACTTTTTTCTTGGAAATTTTCAACTACGGTGCCAAAATCAAGTTCTTGGATTTTATCCGGAGAAGGTCACCCTGTCACCCTTTCGGCAGCCTAACCCCATTTAGGGCAACTGGTAACATTGGTCTAGATACATCAACGGAGCACACCTCACAGCTGGGCCTGCTCCAAATCCATCGCTGGTCTTAGGGATTACTTCTGCTGCTTTTGCAACAAACGACTCCACCATTCTTCCATTTTGGTTTGATGCATATCTTTTTATCTCACTTGAATGTAAATAATATCAGTCCTGATTGAACATAAAACAATAGACAGCGACACAAATCTCTATCACCAATACCATCTAATGAAATGCTCTTTTTGAAGGAACTCACGACAGATAGATGAAAGGCTGGATAAAGGCGAATTCGATAAATCCATCTTGTGCATGCATGTTTTATTTTTTTATTTGTTCTCACAAATCTATTAGAAAAAAACTAAGTAAATGTGATAAGGTATGTACATCTTGGCATAAATTAAATACATATAAAAAAAAGAATGGAACAAATTATTATAACCAATTATTAGTGTTCTAAGAAACATAGTCTAACAAAAAGGTATTTAAGAGTACTGAAAGTATAATTGCCTGCTTACAAAACAAAAAATTGATATAAATGTATTTAAATTAAAATGGCAAACTATGTACAATGCAGCAAATTTTTACATATTGTTCTCAAGTAATTATTATACTAGCATATTACACACTAAAATTCACGGTTGCTGCTGCTTTTATAATGTTGCTTCAGATTTAATCGATGCAGAAATTATGGTAACTAATAATCCTCCAAAGGTCTTTTTAATTTTAGTGGAATTTGAATCACATCTTTGCGGAGTGTTCGTACACTTGTATATAGGTATACGCTTTATACAATATCTGTAATATTCAAAGTGTCATTTTACTGCAGCTTCCCATATGTTTCTGCTAAACGTTTTATTACGTGATCTCTTTTAGCTGCGCCCAATAATGAATCTCCTTTTTGTGAGTATAAACTTTCAAAGCAATTTGTCAATGTAACTTTTGGTGCATAATCTTCATTGGAGCCATGCTCTTCTTCACTAGCTATTAATATGCAATCATCATCCAGCCAATCATTTCTCGTTGTTATGTTTGTTATATTTTTAGTTTGCATGAAGAATCCGCGTTCTGTTTTTCGTAGGAAATTATACAATGCCACGCAACCGAGAATTATTTTTCGACCGTTCTCTTCATCAATGCGCAAAGGTTGTGATAGTATGGGAAATATATTGGCTAGCATACGTAATGCATTTTCAGTATGTTTATTAACCATATTCATAACATTATTATATGTTACTTTTGAATTATTTGGCACATTAGTTGGTCCGTTGAGGAGATAAGGCTTTAGAGGCAAATCGTTTTTACTTGCAAAATAATAGGATTGACAAATGTCTTCTTGTGCTTCATAACTCTTTGGCAGTTTTACTTCATAACTCTCTATTAATTGCCTAATTGTTGATTTTTCATATATCTCATCGACAGCCGCCGCTCGAGTCTTCTCGATGTCGATGTACAGGAAGTTATCATTAATATCTACTATAGAAGTAAAAATGAGTGGTTGTTTGTTGATAAAGTCTATTTGCTCCTCGACCCTCGATGAAGAATGGAATCTAATTTGCTGCATGGCCAGATTTCCGGCGCAATTCAGCATGCGATGTTTTCGCTGAAACTCGTTGGCCACATTTTGCCACTGTTCATCAGTCTTTGGTAGTGATACAAATGGATCCTTGAGTAATTCATATATATTGAGGCATATATTGGCTATCATTTTTAGTATCACAGGTTTCGAGGCACGGAAGCAATAGTTACGACATGAATGTACTTCACCTGCAAAACGAATAAATATTAGTCAAGCATTGTGTATTATAGGAATTATAAGAGATTTTTCTAATTACCATTATCAAGTTCAAATTAAAAATTTTTTGCATGATTTTTTGAAAGCTTGCAAATCCTTTAAATTTTTATGAAAATATTTTTTCTATCATGCACAACCATATCTATGTATGTACATACATATGTATTTATATTAAAAACTTACCCGTTGCCAAATACTTAAGCGTTATAGCTATTCTCTCCTCTGCACTGAATGACTTCTTTTTTCGATGCGGTTCATAGGAACTTATAACTGGGGATAGTTTAGTCACCAAATATCTGAACTGACGCTCCGTTATGTTAAAGAAGCAATTAAAGTGATATATCTCGTTATTTCGAAATAATATCTCTTTACGTAGGTTTTCTTTGCTTAACAACTCGGCTTGGTTCTTTTTCAGCCATTCCTTTGTCCATTCCAGTCTACGTTTGCAATTCAATATGCCAGCCAAATCCAGAGGAGACATTTTTGGTAATTGTCGAACAAGTGACCCAGCAGTCGTCGTACGGTTTGCAGGTGCAACGCCTCCGCCGCTATCGTCTTTCGCAAACTCTCCTTGGCCAACTATTGCAACATTACCACCACCACCACCAGCATCAGCAATTGCTGAGGAAAGTGTCATAACACGACAAACGCCATTTCCATTATCATTTGTAACACCCTCGCGTTCACGTAGCACACCAATTGTTTTTATTTTTACTTTATCCATATTTGAGATTTATTCAATTGGATCAGCCAGTTTTTAACCAATGAGTTGATGTGTTGCCGAAATATTTCAAGTCCCGAGCCCAGAAACGAAATCGATTTTCGCTTATTCAACTAGTTTATAATAATACGCTCAAGTAAATAATACGCTGAATTCTCCAAGCAAACAATTTATTCACTTTATCCGTTTTATAGCTCTTATATTTTTGGTTGGTTTGTTTAGGTGTGGCCAATTATCCGCAGTTGGTCTGCATATAAGACAGATATTCTTATTTAATTTTTGCCAACCTGATATTTTTCATGGAATGTCGAACCCAACGAACTACGAGCAACCCAAGGCGACCAACAACAAATCACACGGCACAGAAAAATGGCAGCAGGTAGCACAAGCGTACACACCCCGTCGGCTGATCGGCAATACTTGCTACCAGACGTTGTTGTTATTATGTTGTTGCCTCTACAACAGCCGATTATGAAGCATTTCATGCAGCAAATACAAATATACCAAGATAAAATTTGAACGACTTTTCATAGATATTAGTTTCACAACTGTTACTATATTTTTTATATAACGGTGAATAGTACGGATACGTAAGGTGAAGGAATAGGTTTGTGTGTGAATATTAAGGAATAGAATCCACCGACGTTAAATTTCTTTCACAAAGTTCAATTAGAATTCGTGCGGAAAACGATTTCGACTTCACATTTCTTGTTTTCGTGACAACAGCTGTTCAATGCTCAGCTGACGCGGCAGGTAGGGATGAAATCATTTTTAGTACTCAAAATCGTTACAGTACTAATAATATTTCAAAACAGTGCTGCCACAAAAAGTATTATAAAGTCACTTTCCCAAAAATAATATTCCAAGGATTCTCACCGATGTAAAATTAACAACGAAGAGTAAGGCACTTAAAAAATGATTTGACTCAGCAATATCTCGAGAAGGTGTTATTCGAAAATGCCTATATTTATCTGTACAAGTAACTGTGTGTATTATTTTCCAAGATTTGAAGCACGATGAGTATCTGGTCAATGATTGACTGACCAGGTTCTAAGCCACACTGATAAGATCAAATCAGTTTGTTGACAGTGGGTGTCTTGCTCTCTTTCTTTTTTCCTCCTCAAATGCGTCTTGCTCCCTCGTCAGCTCTCAGTATCTACCCCGACCCGCACATATTGCGAGGTAGGCAGCCTGTCTTCGCTCCACTGCGACGCGGCAGTCCTCATCGTATCAACTGTTTTTGCGACCTTTCCGAAATCCAATAGTTTTGTTTGCAGCTGTGCGTAGGGATCTTGAAGTTCCGTCCCACAGTTCCCTTATGCCGAGTTGATGATGAGTGCCCACAGAGCAGGAGTGCAAGCAGAGTAGAAACCCGTTCGGCTGTTTGTTGTGATTGCAGCTTTACGACGTCGAACCTTACTTATGTTGTTTGACGGACGTTCTTTGATACTCAGAGCTGCGTGCTTATCTACGACTAGATAGAGATCCGAGTTGATGCTAGCACCTTCTAACGTACGCATCGTCTATCACGACATGATCGATCCAGCGATTCGGAGACATCCAAGAAGCTCGGTGAATTTTCTTATGCTGGAATATAGTGCTACTGACAACCATATTTCGGGACCTGGCGAAGTCAATCAGTCTCAACCCGTTTGGGAATTTTTCATCTTGGAGGCTGAATTTTCCAACAGTTGAGCGGAAGATATCTTCTCTGCCCCCACTTGCGTTAAGGTCGCCAGCACATATTTTTTTCATTGGAGTTTGTTTTTCATCTGGTGAACCATATTTAAAAGAATTGTTTCTGATCACTCTACAGTGAAATATAGTCAAACACTTTAATCACTTGCGTGAACTTCTAAACATGCCCCCATCCCCTCCTTCCACAGATTCCTAATCTTTTTTTTTTTTTTAGCTAAATATCAGTTTCACCGCTGGTTAACAACGTACTACCAGAGACTAGTAAATTATTAACAAAAGAATGATATTTGGAAGAAAATTATTTTATTAATTTATTATTATCTTGCTCAGAAGTGTTCAAAAACAGAGTCAATTTCGGGCGGTGGTGGTGAAATGATGCCGACCGCAATCGGTCCTTCACGTTACTCTATTCTGGTTCACATGCTGTCCGCAATCGGTGGTTTACGTTCTCTGCCTGCAAGAATGTCGGTCGGTGGAAAATTCTAAACAAAGCGGCGCTGGTATTGAGGATTTTTATCGACCGAAATTATAGTGCTTTGAACAACTACAGTTCTTAGAAAGTCATATCCAGTTGCGACAAAGTGTACCCAATGTAAGTATAAATACATATGTTTTTTACATGAAATAAATACGTTAGTGGGAATACATATCTTTCACGCCGAAGAAAGCTTTGACGCTTCCAGCAGCAAGCAAATTTCGAAAAAACGGAAAATAACGACCGATACCATAGCAGCTGATAAAAGGAATATGAAAGACATGATATCTGAGAGAAAGGCTGAAAAAGGAAAGTTCGAATGGTGGCGTCGGCAAGTGTGCGAGCAAATGGAGGAAGTGAGTGAGGAGTATGAGCCACAAGCAGTAATAGAGGTGCAAAGGGTTATGAATAAATTCTAGCAGCAATCTCTCATAAAGAGAACCTCCTCGCCGTCTTCATCATCATTCTCTCCAACGCCATCAAGAGATATTCTGCAGGGTATTTTTAGCGAAGAAGATTTTAGTTTATAAAGTTTTTATGTTTATTTTTTTATATGCGTTCTCGAATTCGAAAAACTTCACAAGTGACCTTATTTTTACAAAAGTTATATAATGAATTATAGATTACGTTTTTATAATGTTGTAATATTTGTAATATTTTTCGTTCCTTAAAATATAAAATATAAAAAAAAAATAAAAATATATGAACTCAGAAATTATACTTTTTATTCATACAATCTAATTTGCCTTCTTTGTTAAAGCATTCTTAGATTATATGAGCTATCTGAGATAGCTTCGGGGTTATTACTAATACTTGAAGTCTCAGATCCTGTGTTGACATACATACACGTATGTATTATGTGTAATAGAAGTCAATGTTACTTTTCCCACTGTGTCAACTTTAAGGTTCATTGTAGTAAGAAAAACCCGAAATCGATTGCATACACGAATTCCAAAAGCATGCGCAACAACATGCCTAGCGAGAGGTAAATTAAATATTTGCTTTTTTTTATTTTACATAAAAATTTATGTTCAGAAAAGGTTAACAAAGTTGCTAACTCGAAGCTGTAATTCTTAAAATTTTTCATATAGTACTTTGCACACTTCGGGTATGGTTTCACTAATGAAGGACGTTGACAGACGAGTTTGGTAGTTTTAATACACAAACGGTTCGCCTGGAATCAAACAAAATGGAATTTAAATACACACTTTTTTATAATCTTTACAGTCAACTTCTCAACTGCGGAAATGGATTTTCTTCTTCGCTACTTAATGAAACACATTAAATTTATAGTTTTATGAGATTAAGCATTTATTTGGTTAATCGTAGGCATGTGTGTTTTTAAATTACAAATATGCTGTGTCCTCTTATGCACCAATAGGAAATGCATTTGATGTTAATTCAATATTTATTTTGCAATACATTTATTATTATTTGGTATTATATGCTATTTTTAGCATGTTTGTATGTATGTATATATATGTAAGAATGTATGCGCTACATTACATTTAAATGTATTTGGTAAATTGTACTTAATTGATTTGAAATTAAATAAACAAAATGCTTAGGCGTCACTTGATCCATTGAATTAAAAAAAATGGGAGGAATATTATATAATATGTTGAAAACACTTTAAAAGCATTTTTAATGTTTATTTTGCTTTATATTATTTTTTTCTTTATTTTTTATTTGCATTTTTATTAAGGCATAAATACATGTGCAAACTTATACGCATGTATCCTTTAAAGCAGCTTAAATTATATTACATAAGACTAATAATATATATTTAAATAATTTTTAAAAAATATTAAATTCATTTTCACCGAACGTTATTCTTCTTCTATCAATCCTCTTCGCTAATATGCCATACCAGTATCATTTATCTCGCATAAACAGTTTACTTAATCAAAAGCATTGTAGAAAATTTGATGGTTTAAAAAAGTACATACAACATATATATTATATTAAAAGTAGCTACAAGTACATATGTACTCGTACACGTATGTATATTAAATATTTTCGTCTTTTTTTTTTAATTTTCTTAGACATTTAGTTTTCACAATTTTAAGCCGATCAACAAAAAATATGAATGCATTTATGTATTTATTTAGAAACAATAGACACTTAAAGGGTCGTTTTACAGAATAATAGTATTTTTGTACCAAATCAAATATTTCTTACCACACAGTATACATATATGCATGTACATAATGTACATATAATATTATGTGTATGTTTCGTCCAAAATCAATTTTATTTAACAATAAATTTTTTGTTATGTGGCATATCGAATGAGTGGATTAAGAACTTTGCGTAATGTTTATAATTTCTTGCTAAAAATTTTATTTTAAGGAAACTGGAAATATTTCATAGTTTAATGTGTATTTTATTAATTTCGATGCGTCGATAATATTATATTGAAATTCTATGCTTGATTTTACTACAGGGAATTTTTTAATTTTATTTTTATCGAAATCTCCAGGCCTTTTCCTCAGTGTTTCCATCATTAACAAAGCATGAGTTTGCGTTTACTTATTTAAATCTGGAAAAAAAGAAGCAAAATGCAAATACGAGTATATTAATTAAAGTGAAAATTTATATATTCTTCGGTTTACATATGCAGTTGGCACAAGTGACATAACTCCATTTGCAGATTTAAATATAATATTAATGATAAAGTGGAATTATGTCACAAACGTCCGCTTATCAGTTTGTTCAATAACAAGAAATTTTCTGGATTTGAGTTAAAAACTTTACATAACAATTCCCAATACTTTGCATTTACTTTACATATTTGCTAGCAGTTATGAGTATTATTGAACAAACCAATCGTATATATATATACGTGTATGTATAAAAAGCAAGCTAGATTATGCTACAAAGGGATATAAACATATATATAAATACATATGTATATATATAAATACATATGTATATATATATAAATATGTACGTTTTCTGTCAATGATTTTTTTGTGCGATGGGTATGCAAGGTATGATTCCTAAATGTTCCAAAAATTTCTTTTTACAATACATTAAAACACTTTAAATATGTACATATTACTGGCAGCACTGCCAATCAAAAATTGTCTCGACGCTTTAGAAGAATATGTATGTATTTTAAGCCATTATTGCTTTTCTTTGTAGGTTTCATAATTTTGTACCCAGATTCTAATTGCATAACTAATTTATGTAGGCACTTATATACCCTTATATGTAACTTAAAACAAGCTCACTAATTGTTTCGGCGTTCTAAATAAGTTTAAAGTCACTGCAAATTTCTTATTGTATTTATTATGACGCTTCATAATATCACATTAAGCTGAACAACAACTTTAGAGTTATTATTTGAGAATGAAATAACTTTAACTTAGTATAAAAGACTCAGTTCATCTGTATACGTAGCTAAGTTTCCAAATGTTTTTCTATAATTATACAAATTAAAAAAAAAAATCACTTTGTTCAAATTAGCTCTTTTGTATGAATTTCCACAAAGGTATTAAGTTATTTAAACGATTGGTTATGCATTGTGAATGGTATACCGTGGAAGAATAAGATTTCTGTTAAAATAAATGAATGAAATTTCCGGTTGGTTGAATTCAATTAAAATTTTGCTTTTAGGTGATTAGTCTTGAGAATACTCCATGGTACAATCATTACCAATTGTCATCAGAAAATTCATTCCGGCAATTACTTATAAAAAGATAAAGAAAAGAATATCAAAAGAAAATACGTCACACGCTTGTTTATTTCCATTAAGAATTAAAATAAAAAAAACCAATTTAAGGAATGTTAAATTCACAAACCTTTTGAAAGTGGCAAAGGTCAGTGCCAAATTTAATTAGTCGTGTTAGGAGTTGTGATGGAACTAAGAAGCATCAATATGCAAGCTGAAATAAATCAAATCTATGTGCATTCGGATGGTTATTACATATGTACATGTATGTACGTATATCAGAATTTTTAATTCATTCTCTAAGACGCAGAAGGTAACCATTATGAGTTTTACCAAAAAAAAAATCGTTTAAAATCGATATTCGGTGGGTTAATTTATATTGCTCAAGAAGTAAAAATTAAAATTATTTTATACCCTTTAGATTTGTAATAATTTTTGCCTTTCGATTTGTATATTATAGTTCAGAAGTATTGATTTTATTTGAGCTTTATATTTTCATGATCTTTCATAATCATAATTTTGTTATATATAATAAGTTTTTTGATCAAAAGCAACGATTTGCTTTTCAGTTTTACTTTTCTGATCTAAAATTCAAATTGTTTTCTGAGCATAATTTTACTATTCAAAATTTAAAAAATGTCATAGCGCCTTTCTAATAAATAAATATGCTTAATTATTTCCAAAGGAAAGTGCACCGAATTCGGAATATTAGTTTGCACCATAACTTCTTTATTGGAGAAACTGAAAAATTAATTATTAATAATGATTTTCTGAGCGAAAAGTAAAAACTTTAATTAATCATTGATTTTGATCTTTATAGGCATTGAGCACAATTCTCGAGATCACTGCATAATCGCGAATTACCCCTAGAAATATGCTTCTATATATAGAGAAAACTCCCAATACGTAGAAGTCCTTCGATCCTTGCAATTAGAACATGTTCTCCAGATGGCAGTTAAACGGATGACCAGACTTTTATGGAATATTTACTATGAATTTAATTGAAAAGGACGTTTTTTTATTTTCAGTTAAATTTTTATGCCGATACAACGATAAAATACACCCAGTTACTTGAATTTGGTATTTATTATACTATTGTCTGTTATAATATAAGCATACGCCACTTTCCAATACGACTGCCGATTTTGGCAAAATTACGTGTGACTTTGCTATCGATCACACCTTTGCTGCTTTCTCCATAAGAAAAATTACATACTATTTTTTGTTTATTTGACAACATGAACACATTTCTGGGCATACCATTTGGTGCTTTAAGAAACATTTCATGTGGAAAATATTCACTTGACGAAATTTTCAAATTTTCAAATGAAAGCATTTCTTTCTATTTCTGAAGGACTTTTCATGAAGTTTTTGTCTTATTGCTCTGGAAAGTTGTATAGCATTCTTGTTTTAATTCAATATAACCATAAGAAAACAGATTTGGAAATTGTACTATATGTGCCTAGGTCTTCAAAGTTTAAGTTATTAAAAATCAATTATTTAATTAATTTGAAATCGTGGAGTTGAGCTCTACTGCAATAAATATATGCTTTTTTTAATTTTTGTGAGATGAGCTGACAACGAATTGAATGAAAGAATCATAATTGTATAGAACTTCATTATAGAAAATCAAACCTTGTTTTGCATACACACATACTAATGGAATGCTAGATGCAAGGTTACTACTTTTATTATGCAAACAATGAAAATGTGCGTGGTACTCTGCTTATTTCGCTTACCTAACCATTGATGTAAGTATAAAAAGCTTGTAATTCCTTAATTATGTAATTTTATGCGTGTATTTTATTCTAATTGTATCCATCTTTCCTCTATTCCACATCATCATCATCTTCTTCTTCCTCTACTTCTAATGTTGATCGTCGTACTCTTGTCTATACTGAACTTGTCGTCGCTTCAGTGCCTCGGCATCTTCCAGCAACACTTCCTCCAATACATTCTTATCTTCCACAACCGTCGATTCTTCGTGCGACCAAAAACTAGACGACGTTAAGCTAGAGTTTGCACCTGGAAAGGAGTCTTCCATCAATGTACTTGATGCACAACTGGTAACACTGCCAGACATTTGCGAATTACCAGCGCTAGTCTGGTAAGTGGCGGTTGTGCCTGCCGAACTCGTATTGGTCTGTTCTATGCAGAGCGAGTCGGCTGATGCATCTTTGGGTATTTGTTCAGTTGGGAAATCCAAAGTGGCGTTGCCACTCCCGCTAGTCGTTGTGGTAACGGTTTGTGTAACGATGTGCTCATGTCCCTCGGCATCTGTTGTAGTTGTAGTAGTGGTGGTAGTGGTTGTTAAACCTTCGCCGAGTGTAGTTTCACCCGCAGTGAATCTTGCCAATAAGTCAAACTGCTCATTATCCATGGAATCGATGCTTTCTTCTCGTGTCGGTTGCTTGCGGTCCGTTTCCAACGAATCGATGTCTGAGCGTGTGGTGGCGTCTTTAGAAATTTCGAAACTACCAATACTACTGGAGCGCATATCGAGACTTTTGTTAATTTCCAAACTATCTGCGCTACCCTTCTCCGAATCCTGTTTGTTCAATTTCACTTTTGCCTCTAATGGCTCTGTTGACAATTCTGTTATTTTAAACGCTGACTCTCGACCTTCACACTCTTCGAGTTTCTGTTTGAGCAACGCTTCAATATTGTGTTGTTGTGCCGGCAATACTTCGGTACGTGTGACAGTACGTGTTACTTTGCTGACAACAACATTGGATGCACCATTTTCCCGATCACTTTCATTGGACTTGTTTGAGTCGTCCGAGCGTGATAGCATGGCGGCTTCTTCTTTTGCCTTGATCTCAATCAGGTGCGCTTCAATGCATGCATTTTCGAGACCTTCAAACTCCTTAAGGCTGGAAATTGAGACGTCATCTCCCTGAGCAGTGGCGCTGCCACTATGACGTACCATATAACGCCGTGTAAAACTGCCGTTGCTGGAATCTGTTGAACCTTGATGGGTTTTATTACGATTCTCCAATGAAATTGCCTGCTCTAACGACTCGAACTCTTGCAAACTGCTCATGGACACATCGTCGTGTTCGCCACGTGCATAGTAGCGTCGTGCTGCCATAACGTCGTACTCGGGAGTACTGGAGAATGAGTCCTTAAAACTGCTTATACGACTGCTGCCCACTTCGAATTCACCATCCTCCTCTTTGATGTCTTCCAATACGCCACCGGTAATGTCATATGGATAGCGAAGTTGTGTGTCTGTAAGTTGCATTTCAACCCAGCGCTTGTTCGAAGAAGCCATGTCACCCGAGTCGCTTTCCTCTTGCGGGTCACTACTACTGCCTGCAGTTGGTGGACTCTCTTCGAATTCAAAGTTCAAGTCATCACGGAATATTTGTGATCCCAATTTGGGGTCAGCTGGAGCTGATTTAATGATAATTTTCTCAACATCTTCATCATGCTTCGATTCGTATTTCGTGGGCTGAATTTTAATACTCTTTCCACCCAGATCGGCTTCGTCGGCTTCCTTGGCGACTTCTTCGATTATTACAAAATCATCAGAAATATCTGGCTGGTCCACCATTTCAAAAGAGTCTGGCGAGTCGGGTGCCTTGTCGTCGTCGTAATCACTGTCTCCAACTTGAGGCCGGTGAAGATCAGCAAGTTTTTGCTTATATTGTTCTTGAACTAGTTTTTGAAAGGTTTCTTCACTCTTATCCATGTGCTTTGGCTGGTGAAGCGGCTCATCGGCGGCTTTATGTAGTTCATCCTGTGTTTTTACTTTGTATAATGATTTCTCCTCAAATCCTTCGGCATTTTCCTCTAGACTTGGTGATTTTTGAAAATCCTCAGTTACTGTTATATCTGGTATGACCGAATAATCTTGCATATTCTGTGATGGTCGACGTTCTTCTTCAATGGCTTCGGCCTCCATCTCTTCTGTAATGCTATCCTCAACTATAACCTCGGAGACAAGCTGTGATGGAGTAAATGGCCGTTTTTCGAGCTCAAAACTGTGGTCCATTTCAGCAGCTGCTTGCTTCTTCTTCTTGTTGTTTTTTCGCTCGTTTGGTGAACGAAATTGTCTCGTATATTCTGATTCGTAGGGATCTGTATCTGATTCGCTTTCCGACTCTTTATTTTCTCCTACCGCTGGGAGCTCTTTATCAGTAATCGATTTTAAAACATCACCCGTAATTGAAGTGCTTTCACTGCGCTTATGGCCACGTTTACGCGCTTCACCCGGCGGCGTTGTTGCAGCAGAGTCTTGAGGTGAATGTTCTCTGCTCTCCATTTCCATCGCAAATGTTTCTTCATGCTCTTGGAATGATGATGGCTGTTCATCATGTGGAAAAGCAAAGCCTTCAATGCCTGTCAGCGACGAAGATCCAGCCGAACCAATCATATCTTCAAAATTCTCTACCACAGTCTCGATATTTGATGTGCTCGACATGCTAACTGAAAGAATACTACCTTCGTCCAAGCTCGATGCCAATTTAGGATCGTCGATTGAACGTCTCATATCGCCGTGATAAAGTAAAATATCTTCAGGCCTTTCGAAGTCTTTTGGATCGTCTATTTTACCTTCATCAACAGGATAAGCCAAGCCCCATGACTTTTCTATTTCTTTTGGCTTCGGGAACTCCTCTACAGTAACCGTTTCAAAATGTTTCTCTTCTGGCTTAGTTTCTTCAACCTTCGGTTTAAATATCATTTCTTGTGAGCGTTTCATTAAAGATCTTTGAATTTGTTGTTCGGTCTTTTTGTAATCTTGAATATCGAGATTGTTATCACTATCCTCGTCATCATCACGTAAGTCACGAATATGTGCCAATTCTTCGGCCTCTAAAGCGTCAGCTTCTGTGGAGGATGCAATTAAAGTTTCAGATAGCTCCGACACATCAATGCTGCCTAAATTAGCCGAAGTATCTGACTGTGAGTCAAAGCTCTTCATGCTTTCGTGCGAACTTAAGGTTTTGCCGCTGCTGGACTCCAGCGTGCTCACGGCACTAATATATTCCGTGGCCTCGCGTGTCACCGACGAAACGTCCAATGCAGTTTGGTATTCCGAGGAATTCGCTTGGGTTAGTAAATTGTCGACATCTGATGAGAGTGGACGACTGTCATTTTTATCCAAACTTCTGTAGTAACTCTCACTGGAGCTCGATTGCTCGATTTCCGGCACTGACCATCTATTCGTGGCATCAGCTGACCCAGTTTCAGATTTGATACGATGCGTTACTTCTTCAAATGGTTTCATTGTCTGTTCTGAACTAATTTCCGAAAATACTGATGCGCTGCCATGCGTAGTATCTTCAACAGGCGATCTACTTATCGGTCCCGAACGTTCCGTGACAATGGTAGCTTTAGCAATTTTTTCCTGATAGTAATCTTCCATCGAACTAAAGTCTTCAACAGTTTCTGTTGATACAAAGCCGAGAGAAGCATGTTCTTCCTTGGCAGCGTATTCCTCCATTGAGCTGTAGTCGTCAGCAGTGCCAGTTGATACAAAGCCCAAAGAACTGTGCTCGTCTCTGATGTCCTGCTTCACACCTTCGAAAATATCTTGGGCATAGTGCGTAACTACAGCTTCTTTATTCAAAGTGTCCTTTGTAGTTGCCTCAAAGAGTCCTTCACTTCGTTCTGCAGGTTCTACCGTAATCAAATTGGTTGACTCCTTTACAGTATCCGGTATACCAATGAATGAAGAAATATCCTCTTCTTCTGAAAAGACGGTTGCTTGCTTTACCTTTGGCACGATGTCTTCTTCGATCAAAACTTTCTCTTTTTTCTCAGCGCTGAGGAGTGTATGTGAAATCGAACGAAACTCGAATTCAGATGGTGACTCCTTAATTGATTTTCCATCCTTCACAATGAATTTAAGTTCATTTTTTGCCGCGTTCAAGGATTCTTGTGCTTCTTCCAATGTTCTGGCGACCATTTCTTCATCAATCAAAGCTTTTGGCAACTCACTCAGTTGTTGAGGTGAGTGTACCACCTTAGGCTTGCCTGTTGGAATCTCTTTTTCTGTTGTCTCCCATTCACTTTTCTCCAATGGCAAATCGGGTTTGTGTTTTGAATCGCTTTCAGATGCTGCTTTGGCAGCTTGAGAAATCTCAGCAGAAACTTCAAAAGTAGTAGACACCTTGTCTGCTTCTGCCTGCTTTTCTTTGGCTGGATCTTGTTCCAACAGATCATTTCTCGTCTCAGAGCTCTGTCGTACAATTTTGCTTCCGGTTTCATCTGTTTCGCGCTTCATGGTCACATATTCTTTAAATGCATCGGTACTTTCGTCGGAGTCAACAGAAATCTCTTTCATCAAAGCCACATCCTCTGCTTCAATTGTGGCACCATTTATACTTTCAGTTTCTGCCATTTCTAGTGCTTCTGGCGCCTCCAATTCGCCTTCTGGTCGTGTGGGTGTAGTTTTAATGACGTTACGACTAGATTCGCCAATGTAAAAGCTTGTCTTTGATCTACCATCTGAGACTTCCGACTTTTCGGTGTCCACGTCGGCATCAGCATCGTCAACTGATATTTCACTAGTTGGCTCTAGTGATTCGGTGCGATCTTCAGAAGCGGTTGTTATAGTTGTAGTTGTAGGATAATCACGTGCATGTGAAGATTTAATAGAAATTTCAGTAGATATATCATCCGTTTTTGAAAAATCTTCAGTCATGTCCAAACTACGCAAACTAACGCTATCCGAGTGCTCGGCAGCTGCCAACGCAGCTAAATTCTTAAAGGAATCGGTCGGTTTAATTTGTAAGCGTGGTCTTGGTACAGGAGTAGATATCGAAAGATCGGGCAAGATTTCAAGTGAGTCGGTAGTGCTGGGTACTTCATCGCTTTTAACGGGTTGTGTCGTATATTCGCCAATAATATCTCTAACTGGCGAGGATGACTTCGCAACGCGTGGCTTGGGTGTGGGTGCATCGGATCCAGTTGGGACAGTAGACGTCGTCGAAACACTAGTTGGTACTGGGGTGGTTTCAGATGATTTAGCGAATTCAAAGCCTGTCTCTACAAAAATAATAACAAGTGTGAAAGTAAAGGTATTCCAAAAAGTTATAAAGAAGAGAATAAATAAAATTTTCAACGAAAATAGATACAGAAGAAACAACAGATTAAACAAAATGGATAGACTAGGACCGAGTATGTTCACGGAAAAATAGAATATGATAATTTTTTTTTCCAAAATAGGTGAAATTATAATAAATATCACTACTTCGTTAAGCAAATTTTATAATGTTCTCTCATGCATTTTAGTTTTAAACAAAATTAATAAGAAATAATAATAATTTGGCAAAGTTGAAATAATTTTTAAATGCAATGCTATGCAATTAGAGCTCAACTTTAACAAAACCTTGCGTGTACATATGTATTATGTACAATTAATGCTAACTACATACATATTATATTTAATTATGAATACTCGTATATCATTATATGCTTATATCGGCCGAAAATCGGCGACTATAAAAAGCGAATTATATATCTATATGTATATAAATATATGCTTTTTTGCTTGCCAAAAAGAAAAAAAATCTCATGTCTTTTCAATTACCCGGCTGAACATAGGATCATGGTAACTCTCAATACACCGCTCACTCTCTATATTACAAGCAGAATTTATTTCAATTAAATTAGTTTACTCTTACTTAATTTAAAGACCTTACACGTGTTTCATTTTCCTAACCACTTTTCTTATAAAAAAATCTATTTGAAGACGAAGTAGTCAATAAGTTTTAAAGATATCTTAAGCAAATTTTGTGAGCTGACAGAATATTGTTTAAATAATTCATTTTTGAGAGATCAGCAGATCATATCGGCAAAACAATTTCATAGTTTCGTCATTTGAGTCCATTCAATATTTCCAAACAATTTTAAGCAAAATAAAAGGTACTTTCAAAGAAAAATGTAAGAAATTTCATTTGCTGTAAGAGAATATTTTCATAATATTTTTTTTTTTAATTACATACATACATTTGTTACAATTGTTAATTGATCTACTGTGAATGTATTTTGAATATTAAAAAGTTTCTTTGATATTTATATTCTAATTCTTTCGAAGTGAAAAGCATTTTTTCGGTAAATTTTATAAAAAAAATAGTCAATTTCGCGAATTAAAAAATCGAAACATGATTTGAGCGCGAATTAAGAACGATAAAGTGAACATCGCAGTTCTGAAAGTTTGGGAGTATTACACATCAAGGGTGTTCGTTATATTAAGCTGAGTTCACACAGAGCTACTTTTGTGACGCCAACACGACAACTCGGGCGATGACGAAAAGTGGTGTACAAGGCGAATTAATAAAAGTAAGAGCATGAGACAACAATTACCGTGTATATTGTTTTTATTTTCAGTGTAAAAATTGTATAATTCATGATAAGTTCATACAATTCGCTTTAGTCAAATTAAATTAATAATTCAAAGCAAGCCAGAAAAGTAGAAAAAAAACAAAAATTAAAACTAATGTCGTTAGCTTAGAAATCAAAGTTTTCTAATTCAAATGACATTTACAGTAAAGTAGTTTTATTTTATGGGATGGTGGGGAATTCTTGAAGAACACGTATGCGGAAGAGAACTTTGTAAGCAATGGAAAAAAAACTTATATACGTTCTTTGGCAATGGCTATAAGACTCAGTCACATAATACAAAATATGCATAAGAGAAAGTTCTGTAATTACTGTGGTCATAAGAGATTTCTAGAATTACAGCAAGCCTTTAAGCTTTGTAACGCTGTACAGGAAGAGATTCTTAAGTGTCCGAATTTTCCTTTCGTGGCCGGATCTGACGACTTTTCCGTTGCTTGGTTTGAAAAAAAATACCGAATGGCACACAGCCTGAATTAGTAAATTAAAATTTGATTTTCGAGCACGTGCGTGAATCAAAATACATATATTAATAAATAAATGCATTAACTGATAATCGAAAAAAAATTATGAAATGACGCGAATTGCCCATAAGTTTGAAAAAATACAATTAAAAAAAAAAAACAATTTTACTTCTCGTTACACTTCCAACCCAAAATGTTATCGCTGTGACACAAATCTCTTCAATAAGAAAAATTAAAAACCCGTTACATTATGTTTTAATTAAACTTGATTTCAAGTTTTTAGCTTAATCCTCTTGAATGCTAGAAAAAATTAAGAAAAACAATCGCCATTGAAATCAGCACGAGCATAGCTTATACGTCTATTCCAAATTAGGTTATATGTATATGAAAATACTAGAAATCGTAACTCAACACGTCCACTCCCTAAATATGCAGCCGGGTATTTAATGTTCGGTTTCGCCCGAGCTTACTGTAACTTTTGGTTATGTAATATTTTTGCTATAAATAACGCCGACCTTTTTAACAGTCAACCAATCAAGCCGTTCAAAGGATTATTGTCCTTAGTATATTTCATAATAAATGCACATCTTCCTTCATATTTAAATAATAACTATACATATATGCACGTGTATATGTGTTGATTTTACATAATATATTTTGTACCTGCTGCTATATCTTGTATATCATTATCGGGTGTATTCAGACCGATATCGCCCAATGTATTTGTAGTCGGCGAGACGCTATCGTCCCAACTCATTTTCGAAAAGTCACTTTGCAAATTACTTATCTCATCGTCATGCACCATTGTATCGAAATTCGCATCGAACGCCGACGCCTGTTCGTCGATATCACCGACACCGAAATGTGTTGTGAGCTTTTCGAATTTGTGTTCAATTCGTCGAGAATTTGTCGCAGTGGGATCTTCTTTAACTCTTTTGGAATCACTAGTACCTATGGTCATGTACATGATGTTAATGATTAAGTTACACTTACTGGGATTTCAAGCGAAATTGCGAAAATAGATAATTATGTATTTAGATGTGTACATTATTGCAAGGAGTAAAGAAAGATTGAGTATAATTTAGATTCGGTTTGAGTGTATGAGAAGAATGGAATATTAAGCCTCACATTGCCTTCTTGGGCATGTGTGTGCGTGTGTGTGTATCAGTACATGTGCTTGTAAGTTGAGGCACTTCTTAAAAATTACCTTTTGTCTTCGTCATTGCATCAGCAACGACATCACTATCAACTACACTACCAACCGCGCCATTATCACTACTACCACCAGCATCACCAAGTGTTGTTGCTGCTCTAGATGTTGTGGCCATTTGTGCTGTAGTGGTTGTTGTCATTGTAATTAGTTCAGTTTTGCCCATTGGTCCGTAATCGTCTTTGAATTGCATCAAATCATGCAATTGTTGTTGTTGTAGGGCTGTAGTTGTGTTCGTTGTGGCCGTTGTGGCCGCAACACCAATTGTTGTTGCCGTCACAGTGGCATGCCACTGTTCATCAGTGAAACTCATATTATCATCAAATGATTTACCCGACATCGATTCAATTGTCGGTGATTTGACAACATCTAAGCCACCGATATCGTCGCAAGTGATTGCATAATTTTCACTTTCTGAATTATATTCATGTTTCAGTGAATCATAACCATTAGTTTCTGTTTGTTGTTCCTGCTGTTTTTGGCGTTGTTGTTGATTGGTAATAATATTAACGCTTTCTTCCAAAACATTATCGATCAACACTGTAGCCTCTTTGCGTATGGTGGCACCCATATCGAAGAGTTCAACACGACCAGCTTTCCGGCTTCTATCTTCATCATCATCATCGTCAGTGTCTTTATAATCATCATCTTCATCAGCATCACTATCTATATAAAAGTCATTGTCTTTGTTATTATCGATATCTTCATCAAAATCGATCAATTTAGTTTTCTCATCTTTATCTCTATCATCAAAAATAATTTGCTTTTCTCTCGCGTGATCGCCTGCAAGACAATTGCACAATGCGCAAATACATACATATGTATTGTAGATAGAGTAGTTACTTGTGGTAATTACAACAATAATCGAATTTATACTTTAAGCAGCTTATGTAATTACAGCAACAGTTATTTTTTTTATTTAATTTTTATTATTTTTGCATTTCTCTTTGACACAATTATTGACAAGCGTGCAAATTCATTTGCATTGTAATAATTAACGTGATATAACGTGTTCAGAACATACATACATATGTATATGTAATGATATTTACGATGTTTTTGTATGTGATGCATAAAAAGCGGTGACAACGTAAGAAAGAAATTATTTGTAAATGCGTGTGATGTGAATGGGTTGGCGGCTGAATGATTTTTAATAAACAACTCAACTGATACACAGACAAATAACAGTGTTTAACATTATTTCGCGAGCTATCTGTTTTTAATCTAGTCAGAACCGTTAGTTCATGTTACTTAAGAAAAATTTAAAAGGCACTAGATAAATACAAGATTGTCTGGAAAATATACAAAACGATTGCTATTACCGATCAGAGTAAACCAAATCAAAATTTTCGGCTAATTAATCGAAGTGAAAGTAGCTTAAAAATACATCATTTTGGCATTTTAGTGTCCTGCATTCTCCGCAAATCAACCTCATTGCCAAGCTATGAGAACTTATACCTCATTGAAATATGTATTTTCCAATTGCTTAACAGATTTAACGAACGAGATCGCAGAAAGGTATTTAAGTACAATAATATTTTCTGTAATATTGAAAATTTCTAAGACAGAGCTTTTTGTTTACGATGTGGTATCCATCCACCATCGGAGGGGAGGAGGAGGAGGAAGAAGAAGACATCTACACCATTGGAAAAACCAGGTGAAAAAGGCCTTGGTATTTCCAATTTGGCGCAAACAGCGAAAATAAGTGTTATTAACTCGGCTATAATCGGATAAGCGGTGTCCAGTAAAGAAGAAGAAGATTTTGTAAAACAGTGTTTCACGGGCGCAAAAGCGAGAATGGAACAACTGTTTAAGCATAAATGAGTTCAACGACACTATTCCACTCAACAACCCCAACGAATTTTCTTGTATAAATTCTTTTTAGATGAACTGCATCACAATTAGCTATACTTGCTTCTTAAACGAGGAATAGCGATCTACTCAGATGGATTTGAGGAGAAATTTTTCTTGGTTTGTTTTTCTTTTGAAAAATCCAGTACTTTGTTGCATCATAAAGGAGCATCATCAAGCCAGTAGCTCGGTCGGGAAGATGAGAATTAAGTTTATTTAAATAGTACGCTGATCGCACGAAACGGAAAGAGGAGGTGGGAGAAATGCTATTTGGCACAAAAATGTAATGTTGGAACTATGAACGCATATGTATACATATATATGTATATATATTTAATAACTTGTATTAAACAAATGATATATTAAATGTTACTAAATATTTATTGAGTTAATTATTCACCATTAATTAAGTTGTATCAAATATTTATAAGTCCTTTTATGAATATTTTAATTATTTTGAAACTGTTTTTTCCTTTTCTATACTATCGGAATGTTCTTATGACCTGTGATGCGTTAATACTGGAGCCTTATACGCAGATGCAGGAAGGGCTCGCCATGTTTACGGCGCCTATTTAACATTAAAAAACAAATAACAACAAGCACGAAAAGTATACAGCTTGTTTTTTATTTCATGGCGTCGTACTCGCGTTATATATATAAAGATAAATAAATAAGATATCCCATTAATTGATAATTTGAAACAGACTGTCACTTGAAGGAAGGAAGTTAGGCTACATGAACGAAAGTTGAAGTTTGATTTTACCACGTGGTTTGTGGGTGCACTCTATTAAAAAAAGAACTGTTTGAAAATTAATACCGTTAATAAGCCTTGAATCGTAATTTGTATAGAATCAGTTGTAGGACGGTGTTAACGTAGGCTATCCTTGCTGCCAGCTTACAATACAGTAGCCGCAAAATCAGAAAAACGTTTGTTCTTTAGTTTTATACGATTTCAAACATTGTATTTAAACACTCGGGTCTCACACATTTTTTACGCTTCCTTCTTATCTTAGAAAACTAAATATAAATCTTAAAGCAATTAAATATAATTGGAAGCATTAATCCACTAATCAACTGTGTTTTACTTGTACACATATCAAAACTATTTAAAACAAGTAGGAAATGAAAAGTGCTTAATCCGATTGTCTTTGATACCATGAATTTATTACTAAAAATATTGTTCAAGATTAAACAAACCACTACCTTATAAATAATTATTATACTACTTTACTTTTCTTCCTTTTTGACTGGCGTAGGCACCGCTTACGCGATTAGAGCCAAGTTAGCAATTACTACCATTTTACTACATTATCCAAATGTCATGCTTATAAATGCTCATCAAAATCTTTGCTGTTGATGCTACGGCGTAAGTATCTATGACATATATATATATATATATATCGTAAAATGTCTCACATCACAACTATATCAACTATTTAAAACTGTTGCACTAAATTTTTCCTCCTTATCAGCAGAAATCATTTACTTTGCTATTTAAATCGAAATAAATATTTAAATTGTTCACTTTTGGTTTAGTTTAAAAATTGTATTTTTATTTCATTCAAGGCTTAAGCCTTAAGTATCTAAAACAATTTTAAGTGTATATGTTCACAAGTTTATAGGGTGCTTGTTTGTATATAAACTATGTACGAGTATATAACCGTGCAGCGAGAGACTGTATAATCTTAAGGCGAAACTAAATTTTAATGCCCCAATAATATGCATTATCTTCAACCAAAGTCGAACATTAATAATTCGCTGATTTTGTTAAAATATGCTCTAATTGATAAAAACCAAAATTAATCAATTATGTATATGTGTGACTAAAAAAAAAACAACTTGGTAATTACGAGTACAATGTTAAAGCGGTGCTGTGGAGTGATATTTTAAAAACTTATCCATAATGGGAAAATTAAGCGGAAACTAAGCATGTGACCAAAAGCGACTGATTACATTAAATAATGGATAGCAATTTTTAAAAATAGAAAAAAATTATAGATAAAATGAATTTCATTTTAATTATAGCTACAAAAATTCGGCCGAAAATCACTTTAGCGGTTATAAAGCGCCAATTATATTTACGGACACACACAGAACTACAACAATTTACTTACCAATATTTCGGAATGAATCTTCATCTAAAACGAATTTTTCTTCTATGGTTTCTGTAAAAATAAAAATTAAAATGTGAGTATATACATAATAAATATATTTTATACATTTTCTTTTTTATGTGTGAGGACACAGTAGAGTTGTGAAAAAAGCACATAATTTTAATATTTTAATGCTATTACATTTTAATGCAGTTTCATTGCAATGCCTTAACTTTTCACATTTTATTTGTGAACGTAATGCATTTTTCACGACTCTGGTGAACAGTGTGGGTGGGAGAATGATAAAAACATTTGCTTTATAATAATAACAATAATAATAATTTTGCGACCACAAAGTATAATGAAAAGATGGTTAAAAATGTTTAAATTAAATTTAATGAACTTAAATTTATATATTTGCATGGCAGGAACCTGTGCTTATCTAATTAAACATGACACTTTGTTAGCAACAATATGATTTGACGTTTAGTAGTTCATCTACAATTGATTTGGTTAGTAATAATGACGAAAGCTGGCATTTACGTTTGTTAGTATGTATTAGTATTTATATAATATAATATATATATTCTTTTTTTTTGCTTAACGAAATTGGATTAACGTTGACATTGCTAGCAATATATGTATGTACATACACGTATGTAAGTTTCCAGGTGAAATAACAATTTTTTTTTTAAATTAAACATGAAGTTTTTTTACTTACAAATTTTGTTCTTTTACGGAATTGGTATTTTTTATTCTATTGCATTTTTTTTTTGTTTTGTATCTGTATTGTTTATTTTATTTTGGCATTTGTAGTAAATTGCCCTTAATTGCTTCCACGGGCAGCCGATTCGTCGGATTCCACATACTCGATATCTGTATGCGCGTCACGTGCTTCAATATTATTGCCCTTGATATGTAATTTCTCAGCTTCGGCATTAAAGCTATTGACGTTCTTTTCATGCACCACAGTGTAACTTTCGTTTAGCAGATCGTTCAATTGGCTACAGTTGACCGTGCATGCTGTCTCATCCGCCGTGTGATCACTGCCAACATCGTCGGCATCGGATGGACATTGCACATCTTCAACGTCCGTATTTGGTGGATTGGTGCCATCACCAGCAGTTAGACCTTCTAGTGTTAAAGTTTGGCAAGATTTTCTCTTACCATCCGTTTCTATTGTTAACACTATATTGCTATTGCTCACGATGTACTCTTTTAAAGTTTTACTACCCACATCTGCGCCGCATTGACCTTCATTATCCGACATATCGGACACTTCATCGGCACTGATATCTTCTACGTCGGTAGCCTTGTCAATACTGTCCTCTTGTTTTGGTTGCTTTGCATTCGCATTCAGCTTGAGATTTGGCGGTAATCCACGGTCGCTTAGCTCCATTTCTTCAATATCAGTGCCGCCATCTTCTTTGTCTCTAACCACCACATCTAAAAGTTTTGTTTTGCCTTTGCTCATGCTGCGTGTCTTCAACTTTTTACGCCTATTTGTGCCATCGACATAGATTTCTTCAACATCTGTCACAGGTTCGGTATTGGCGTGTAACTCAAGACGCTTACTGAGTTGTGGCTTTAAAGTTTCATTTAACACAGTGACTTCGTCTTCAATTAAATTTTCGGCATTTAAACATTCTGCCACCGAGCCATTTCGTTCCAAATCATCTGCACACGAGTAGTCCTCATCTTCGGTTTGTACATCATCTGTGACGGTATTGTAGACACCAAAGTGAAAATCCCGGTCTAATGGCATTACATTTTCAATAGTATCGCCATTGTCATCTTCTTTTAGTACCACCATTTCGCGGTGTGCTGGCGGCAATATGGCCTCAGTAACTGAGTTGAGATCGTGTGAGGATTGGGTATTATCGTCACAGAAAATATCCTCCACATCCGTAATATCATCATCATCTTCCCCTTTAGCGGATAGTATAACAGCTCTGGGTATGGATTTCTCTTCTTCTTCACTATCAAAACTATCCTCACCAGCAGAGTCATCAAGTTTTTCAACATCTGTAAGCACTTCCTCGATATGTGCATTACTCACCGCTAGGAATGCATTCTTATTGACCGACATAGTTGTCGACTTGCGACGCTGTTGGCTGCCTGTGCTGATGAAGGCAACATCAATGGGCGGTAAACTCGCATTACTGGCACTATCGTATATATTTTCGTCATCCTCATTTTCAGATGCTGGCTCTGATATTGCAATTTGACATTCTTCCTCATCGCCCGACATCTCCATCACTTCATCTTCGGACAAGCCGCGCGCACCACCTCCAGCACCACCCGCATCCGATAGCGCTGATGCCAGCTCACTAATATCACTTAATATGGATAAGTCTTCGTATTCATCGGAATTATCATTTTCATTGTTAGGACATGCGCGATCAGCTATAAACACTCTACCCTGCTCACCAACAGCCGTATCCAGATCGACGCATACCGACTTCTCACAGTCATTCTCCAATTCCGAGTCAGTATTGTAATCTTCACAGTCCGTTAGGTAATCATTAGTTTGATTTAAATTTTGCGCTTGCAAGAAATCGCCAGCTTTATTCTCCACCTTTTCTTTAGCCTCATTATCGATCATGCTTTGTTCACGCAAACCATGCTGCAGAAATTCCTGAAGCGACAATTTCAACTCAGGATAAACATTACTCTTCTCATCCTCATCAGAATCGGTGTCATTATAATCTTCAATATCCGTGGCGTCGGCATCACGCTCACTTAGTTTGGGAATATGTAGTGTATGGCTGGAAGCCTTCTGAGTATATAGTTTCTTAATATCAACCTGACTGTCCAAATCTTCAACGTCTGTGACATTGCCATTGTTAAAATTATAATCCATATCGTTACTATTGGAATCTTCAGAGGACTCTGATTCAGATTGCTCGTTTGTGGTAACGGAAATGACGGGAAGCTTTGCGGACATTTTGGCTTTATGTGGTATATTTTAATTTAATTGTTATTATTCTTAACAGTTTTGGTTTTTTGCTATTTTTGGAAGAGTCAAATTTATTTGAAATTTTGAGTTATTTCCAATTATTCAATAGAAAATTTTTATAGATAATTTGCAGAAGCGGTTCAAGCGTTCGGTGGTATTCGCGCATAAGGCAATTGTAAGTACATATTCTTAGTCAAAAAAAAACAGAGACAAAGATCTCTTATGAATACCACCAACAACAGCACATTTATTTGCGCAAAAAAAAAATTAACGGACTTATAGATTTTGAAAACTGGTTTGCCTAATACGGAAAAATTGTACTCTTTAGGAATGTAACATGTCTTTGTACCCAGGATCAGAAGACTGCTTATATGTTCTTTTGTAATTATAAATTTAAGTATGTATACACCAATACCAACGTTTTAAGCATGATAAGAGAGAAGTTATATTTTCGGTTTTATATGTGAAAATATTTTAAAGACGATTAAATAACTTTCTATTGGCAATACAGCGAATTTCCAGAAGACGAAGTTGTTCCATCATAGTATTGATTCTAAATGAATTTCACACTAACTAAATATAGGAGCAATGTTGACTCAAAAGCAACAATATTGCACAAATTTCAAATAAATCGAGCTATAAATAATTAAAAATATTTTTGAATAGGTTGGTGCCTAGGAAAAATTGTGTTCATGTTAAGCTGAGCGTAAAGCTACCTATGTACCAAATTAACAGAAAATCGAACCATCAATGCCACATATTTTTTTGAATAGGTCGGTCCCTGTTTTACATCGCGGATTTTTCTAAAGAACTTCCACATAAATAAATCTCAAGTTGATATTTGCCAAATAAGTTTAGCCTTTCTAAAAGTTTCGCAAGACAAACGATCAGCAATTACAATATTTTTCTCTAGTAAAAACTAATTCCAATAAATTGAAGACTTAATTTGCCATATGCACCGTTTTGAAGGTATAGTCATTATGCCTCTCTCAAAGAAACCATTGTATTTATTGGCAAAAAATTTGGACAATCGATTTTCACAGGCTTCTCTTGAGGTCAACTTTTCACCAGCTCAGTCATTCGCTTTAGACAGGAACAGATGGTAATCTCTTGGTACGATGTCCAGGCTATAAGGTGTATAAAAAAATTTTTAGCCTAATATTTCTTTTAAGCCAAAACCAAATTACAATAGCAGCTAAAATGGCAACAATGCTGCCTATTATGAAATACCGAAAGAATTTCGGAAGAGCAAATCAAGTGCTATGGAAACTATGATACTATAGGAAAAGGTGATTTACGCAGATGGCCTCTGTTTAAAATTTAGAGGGTTTTTCTTTCAAATAATGGTAAAAAGTTAACGAAATATAGAGTCGGATCATTGTTTTATTTTGTTTACCATTTTTTATTTTTGATCAAATTATACCACAACTAAGACTACGAATATTTTGTTGAGAAAATTTGAAGTTTAAACATTTCTCACAGAACCGCCATAATTTAGTCCCGTTTTTTCTTGTTTCTTAAATGCACAACCTCGAACTTAGCAAGCCGGTAAAAATTTATTCTATCAACGTGGAAAAGAAATATTACAATTTAATTTGGTTGAATACGGTGTTAATTCAAGCCACTCTTAAGAAAATGGATTAACTACTCATGTGAATTAGTTAAAGTAGTTTGTAATTCATTTACAAAATCATATAAAAAGAAGTAATCACTTTTAACCTCACTTTTACAGGCCTATTCTCACTCTTACCGGTAAAGTAAATTTTGTTACTTTTTTTTAACACCCGAAATTGAATTGGCGCATTGGTCACAATGTTTGAGAAAACCTTGGCATTTACATTTGCCACTTGGTAAAGTAAAAAGAAAGATATTCATTTATATATTTGCATTTCGTTTTGTTGTTGGGAAGAAAATTTTCGCGGCTTTTACTGTGATCCTTTAAATTTGAAATATACTGCAGTGATCGCGAAATAGAAGGTTGGCTCACTGCAGTTAGACAATTGCTCCCAGCGAATTCCTGATACGAGCCGTGGGGAAAAGGAATATGTTGTTGAGAGAAACCGCAAATAAAACGACAACGTTGTCTTCTGTCTAAAAATTAATTTTGATTTAAAAATTGCATATGAAACATCTACAACTACTCCCTCGTCATATAGTGTCAATTCGTTTATAAGCTCTAAACAAATTGCTTTCTTCAGCGAAAATACTGAATGACAAACTAAAATGGCCAATTTCGTGTCCTTTTTCGCTGGTAAGAAAACTTACAGGGTGACAATGAACACAGAATACGAAATAGTAACAAAATTTACGGAATGGTAAGTTTTGATACCAAAGTAAATTGTGTTAGCTCGACAGAATAGGCCCATTAGTGTAACCATTAAAATAATTCCCAAATCAGATATAAATATAATATTTATTTTACAGAACATGTTAGTGGTGAATACATACTTATAGTATAAGTGAAGGCGGATTCACATAAAACTTGCTTCGCCTTGCTTGACAGATTAAACTCTAACTACGATGGGAAGCAAAACGAAGGTATGCCGAAGTGTATGCTTAAAAATTACCCGATATTTTAAATTTTTGTTGTTTAATAACTTTTTAACTATAACTATTATAACAGGCTACTTTAATTTTGTTTGAACGATTTAGCCGCAACATTTTGCTTCGCCTCGGCTCGACTACTTTCAATGTGTGTACTTACTCATGCAAATACAGACTTCGAACATATCTGTCAAAGCGCAATTTTAAAGTAAGACAAGACGAAGCTCTTATATGAATCGGCTTAGAGTTACTGCGCCTTCACTAGGAGATCGACCTTTTATTTGAAACGCCTTGAAATTACATCGATATCGTTACGAAATTTTAGTATTATGTTCATTCAGGCAGACTTCGTTGTTTGAATAGTAACACGAAGCAATTAAATATTTGAAATAATATTATAAAATGGTTAATTGAGTTTTCAAATCCAAGTTTCTCAAACTATCGGAAAGTTTCAGATATAAATATTGCCTATATAAATATGTAAAAATTATATGGCATACTAAAGCAAGGGTTTTCTAAATATTTATAGAAATCGTATACTCAAAATCTATACTATTTAAAATTCTATTTATTTATTTATGTACAAATAACTGTATGCTTAAGGAACATACACGTATGTATGTTCATACGTTACATATATAACATAAATATTTTATTTAAATTGAGGCAATTATTTACTATTATTATATCATTTTATTCGAAAAAAACAGTGTGTATGGTTTGTATATTTTATTTACGTAATAAATATATTTACACATAACCTAAAAGTAATTTATATGCACTCGTAATAAAATAATCGTAAATAAGACAACCATTAAGCATAATAGTTAGTTATTTAACGTTCATTTACCTTTAGGCGTTTCATTCTGCTCCGAATGCGAATTTCTTGACGATGTCGGACTAATGCTGCCCATACGTAAACCAGCGGCACCAAATTGCATTTGGAGTGCTGGATCCACAGCATAACCGGTAACTTGCTGACGTCGTAGTGTCTCTTCGATTAGGGCCAGTGGACTACGCGTTGCTTTTGGTGAGCCCGGACTTGCTGCTAATAAACGATCTTGCTCCGTATTGAACATAGGCAATGCAACTGAATCGGACAAACTTGAATCGGTTGTATCAATGAAGCTAACATCAAACTCGCTAACACAACGTTGCTCTGTTGATGGCGGTCGTACAATGGATGTTGTCATTGAATCCAGGTCGGTATCTGGTTGGCGATAAATAACTTCAAATGGCTTGTCAGGGCCAAATGTTTTAGTAAAAACTTCACTTGTTAAAACTTTTCTACTGCCAGAAGATGAGGTAGAACTTTTTGTACTTTCTGTGGATCTGAAGGATCGTGTTATTTCCGCATCATCATCAATGATAACGGTACTGACAATAGCCGTAGTGGCTACAGGCTCTTGATGCACTTTAACAACTGTAGTACGTGCGGGTATGGCTGATATTTTGGAGATTTTCGTCGCAGATGTTGTAGCAGTTGTGGCGAACGTAGACTTGTCTAACAATCTAAGATTTGCTACATCCTTGTCGATTTTCTTTACATTTGTAGTGTTTCGCGTATTCTTACGTACGCTGCTCAAAGAGCCACTGGCACTAGTATTACCACTGCCTGTCATGTTGGACTCGTTGATAGAATCTTTTAATTTCTTTTGTACTCTTACATCACCTTTCTTGATTTTAATGGGCTTACTTTTTTTCGGCTGTGCCGCTTGTTCTTTATTATCCTTCTGAGGTCTTACCTCGCCTAACTTACTTTCACCTCTGACTGCAGTAACTTTACTGCGAGTTGTTGTACTGGAAGAAGCTACGCTTATGGGCACTTTCGAACGATACGTTGCTTTGTCACTTCGCGTTGTGATTTTTCTGTCTTCGACATTCGCGTCTAGCGTTAAACTGCTTCTCTTTGTTCGTGCAGCGGTAGTTGGTGCTGTTATATTATCTTTTGTTCTATCAATTTTGTGCTTAATTTTATTCTGATTTGTCTTATTCAATACATTACTCAATTCCTTACTTGTTTTTGGTTGAATTTTCGTTACAGTTATATGTTCGCTATGCGCTATCACAGCTTTAGCTTTCTCTGGTTTAGTTTTTCTTAGATAAGGTTTTTCAGTGCTTTTTATGGATTCCTTACTATTAGTGAGTGAGTCTTTCTTTAAATTCGTCAAACTACTTTTAAAATTAAGTGGTCTCTCCTCTTTGGATATAGTTCGTACATATCGTCTTTGTGCACCAGTGGGGGTAGTCATAGTCGTACCCAAATACTGCTTACCTTTTGTTTGTATCGTTGCTAGTCCAGGTGAGTTTGATCTCAATGGAGTGGCTATCGCTGTTGCTGTGTCTGTTGGCTTAGATGAACTTGTCTGTGAAGTTGACTGCGTTCCATATCGGAGACTGTGCGCCAATGTCGGCTGCATATATCTGTGCATTACAGTCGAGGTAGGGGTAGCCAATCGTTTACGATGGACTTCTTCACTGGACGATTCGGAAGATATTGTGATTG